TCCCCGGAAATCAAAGAAAGGTGCAATGATTGAAACCGGGATTCAAGAGAACACGGATACAGCCTCAGCTGATACTTACCCTATCGAACCATCTCAAGAGGTTTGGGACGCCAAAACTCAAATTTCTGAAGGGATTGATAATAATGAGATCTCAATCAATTATATCATATTCAGTTCTCTATGGAACAGAAAAGATGTCGACATCAATGAAACTTTTCCATACAAGGTAGCACTTGAGATTGCGCACACGCAAGAGGATCTAGAACCCACGTCTATAATTGAGTGCACTCGTAGATCAGATTGGCTGAAATGGAAAGAAGCCATAAACGTGGAGTTGAATAGTTTAAGAAACGGAATGTGTTTGGTCCGATCTTAAGGACACCATTCGATGTTAAACCAGTGGGAAACAAATGGGTCTTTGTGCGTAAAAGAAACGAACTCGGCGAAGTCGTTAGATACAAGACACGCCTTGTAGCACAAGGATTCTCACAGAGACCCGGAATCGATTATGAGGAGACTTATTCTCCAGTGGTGGATGCAACTACATTTCGATTCCTCATAAGTCTGGCCATAAGAGAAAACTTAGATTTGCGGTTAATGGATGTTGTAACCGCATATCTTTATGGACCACTGGACAGTGAAATCTATATGAGATTACCAGATGGTATTGAGCTCAAAGATAAGCATGCATCTCGTGATAAACACTGCATTAGGCTGAACAAATCCTTATATGGATTGAAACAAAGCGGACGTATGTGGTATAACCGGTTAAGCGAATATCTCATCAGAGAAGGCTACGAAAACGATCCGATCAGTCCATGCATCTTCATCAGAAAATATCAAAACAAAGGATTTGTAATCATAGCAGTATACGTGGATGACTTGAACATCCTCGGAACATCTGGTGAAATCGCCCAAACAGTTGAATGCTTAAAATCAGAGTTTGAAATGAAAGACCTAGGCAAAACTAAATTCTGTTTGGGATTACAACTTGAGTACGTCAATGAGGGAATCCTTGTGCATCAATTGGCATACACTGAAAAGGTACTCAAGAGATTCAATATGGACCAGGCCCACCCATTGACCAGCCCAATGGTTGTGAGGAGCCTTGGATTGGATAGTGATCCATTCGGTCCAAAGAAGGACGATGAAGAAATCCTCGGTCCTGAAATGTCATACCTCAGTGCCATAGGAGCATTAATGTACTTGGCTAGTCACACTAGACCAGACATCTGCTTTGCCGTGAGCCTCTTAGCTTGCTTTAGTTCGTGTCCAACTCAAAGGCACTGGAACGGTATTAAGCACATCCTTAGATACCTTCAAGGTACTAAGGACTTGAGATTATTTTATTCTAACCATAACAAGGATGGTCTAGTTGGTTTTGCTGATGCAGGATATTTGTCAGATCCGCACTGTGCCCGGTCTCAAACCGGTTATGTTTTCACGCATGGAGGAACAGCCATATCTTGGAGATCCATGAAGCAGACTATTGCCGCTACCTTATCCAACCATGCGGAAATCTTGGCCATTCACGAAGTTAGTAGAGAGTGTGTTTGGTTGCGGTCCATGACTCAGCATATCCGATCAGATTGTGGTATGGACGAAGATAAGGAGCCTACGGTGATGTATGAAGACAATGCAGCTTGTATCGCTCAACTCAAGGACGGCTACATCAAAGGTGACCGGACGAAGCATATTCTGCCCAAATTCTTCTTCACTCATGAGCTACAGAAGGATGGTCAGGTCAAGGTTCAGCAAGTCCGATCAAGCGAAAATTCAGCCGATCTATTCACTAAATCATTACCGACTTCTCCACTCCGGAAGCTCATTCATCAGATAGGAATGCGTAGACTTAGAGATCTACAGTGATGCCTAAACCAGGGGGAGTAATGCGTGTTGTACTCTTTTTCCTTCACCATGGTTTTTCCCACTGGGTTTTCCTGGTAAGGTTTTAATGAGGCAACGTTCCCCAGCGCATTATAGAGATCCCGGTTTTGTGACAGGCACGGATACCTTGTCCAAGGGGGAGTGTTATAAATAAATGGACTTCTAGTAACCGGCCCATTAACCATCAGGTTAATGTCTCATGGCCCATTAGGGTTTCTGATACATTAGTTATGTAATGTATATATACACTGCTTATGGAAACAATAAGATAAGAGTTTTTCCCTTAATAGAATGTAATATGTAACATTAAACATTTTTTTAATACTAACTATCTTTTTCTGATTAAACAGGTAACATCATACCTGAATTCTAACATTAACTATATTTTTCTGAGTATAGAGGAAAATGCAGTGATAATGAAAAAATCATGCCTTGAATTCAGATATGTTGTTACTTTTACAATTGGAACAGCAATGCAGTTGCCTGCATTTGTGAAGACAGGAGTTATCAACATGAGAGGAAGACCCAAAATGTAACTCTATACTCATGAGTTTGTTGAGTTTGTAACAAAATGTAAAAAATTTCATGAGTTTGTTGTTAAGCGTTTTGCATATATAACGGATTATAGTTTGAAAATTTATAAATAAATTTATAACGGATTATAGTTTGACAATGGAGTTTCCCGTGAGTCCATTGTCACAAAATCTGCTCCGTCAGTCGTTTTGGACCTTTATTCGGCTATCAAGTAGCTTTTAGAGATAGTCTCGCCGGAGCCACCAGTACAACCTCAGCGAAGACTTCTTTCAGTTCATCGGTTGTGGCTTGGATGTTTAAAAATCATGCCTGTTATAATATATAAACTATATAAAATACGAAGATTACAAGATAAACTTAAATAAATAAATAAATAAATAAAGAAAATATAATCAGATTTAGAACGTTAGATAACTATTTTCTTTTTTTATGTCTATTTTAGATACTTGGAGATTTGCTATTAAATCCTATATAAAATAGCAGAATCAGATTATGAAAGCATGTATTTTTTAAAAAAATCTTAATAAATATTAAATAATTAAAAATTATCTTTAATGTTATATATGAAATTAAAAAATTGTGATATAGTTAACTGGTCCTAAAAGCGGATAGGTGATTTGTCCGCATGTTTCTTAAGACAAGTAAAATGTGTTAAAATGATCATTAATTTGATTACGACCGAATTGGACTGAAATTCATCAATTTGAATTTATATTAAATTATATCTATTATATATTTCTAACATTTTGCCAAAAAATAAAATCACAAAGGTTTCATAATTAAATTATAATTTTCAAAAATATCAAAAATCGATTTAAAAAGAGTAAAAACAGTACAAAACAACACAAAACGGTTAATGTGATTGTTAAATGCCAAAAATCGCAACTGTTTGCAAACATAACATTTGCGAGAGGTAGAAGAAGAACCAATCAACACTTATATATTACAACTACAAAAATTTCATGTCCACAGATGCGATCATTAATATATAATTATAGAAATTACATAAACATACTTTGCATTAATGACCAATCCATATAGATACAAGTAAATTGAAATTTTCATAACACCAATCATGCCCGCACATGCGGGCCAGTATCCTAGTATCATTTAACATTAAAACCTATTGTTTAGCAACCTTTAAAATTATTATTTATAAAATAAAAACAAAGTAAAAAATAAAAATTAGTAATGCAGGAGAGACAAACTAAGGTGGTGGAATATTGATTAATTATCTGTTTTTGAATGTTTTCTTCAAGCATTTCATACATGTTATTAAAAGTTTCAACTCTCTCTCTCCTCATCTCCATATATCTCTCTCAGCTCTCTCTCTGTCTCTCTCTCCTCATCTCCATATATCTCTCTCTGCTCTCTCTCTCCATCCTTCCATATCCTCCACTCCCTTATTAAGAAATCAGATAAAGTTTCTTAAGGAACCAAAACACCATAAGGGTAGCCACTAGCTAGATATGCGATAATTAAAAGAGGTAAGAGATTATCGTATTCATTAGAGGCAAAAGTGAAATTCATTTAAAAATAAGACTATTATTGCTCAAGCCTCAATTTTTCAGCAACCGGAAAAGCAAGCAAGAGAGATTCTTTCACCACATACGAAGCTTTAGAGACACTGCTTAAACCTCACAAAGCACATATAAATAAACAACTTTTTGAACCAAAATCAATAAGAATTATCATTTAATGCACTCCACATACACAACTTCAGCATCAGTGTCGTCTTGATATTTTCACATGTGAAAGATATTCTAATTAAGAATACATGATGTTATGTTTTATCCCAAAATTTTGAAAGGGATATAACACAGAGACAATGAGTTGAACACGCTGATTTTGCAAAACACCTTTTTGCCTTCTATTAGAAATCACTTAGACAATCTCAAACGATCTGTCTAATCAGTTTTACACGATCTTGTACTGCAATTTGACACTGATCAATTCCTAATCTACCCGACCTAGCACAACAACAGTTGTGGAACTCGATTACAATCACTCACCAAGAATCCTAAACTCTTACTTAGTTTCTTGTGATATTGCTCTCTCAAATCTCGCTCTGAACGGTTAACCCTACTGAGCTCATTTTCTTTGGAATATATACCACCTCGCCTTGTGTATATCTCCTTTCCTTTTTCTGTTGGGATTCCAATCTCCCTTTCTTGTTACGAAGATCTTCTTCCTTGCCTTGCATCAGTAGTGCCACATCAGCATTTCTTCTGCATCCTACGTGTCACTTATGAACTTGTGTTATTCCCGCTCTTCCGTGCGTCACACATCTTGCCTTGCAGAGCCACGACTCTTACAATATCCCCCTTTTTATCTGAATGTGATACTCCAAGTTTTCCTGACAATGAAAGCAGCCAACACACACATACCATCCAAAACAATAAAGATATTCGATGAATCAACACAGAGGACATCTTAATACGTCAACAAACAGTCTACCATAAATCCAAACTGTTTCAAAGAACTTTAGGAGCACATGGTCCAAACCCAAAAGACAAGTCTCAAATAAGGTTCAAGCATAATGCGAGAAAACACAGAGAAACAGAACAACTGGAGTACATCTAATTTCCAGCCCATTCATTTTCATCATCATCGTCATCGCTATCCTCCCCCTCAGCTGACGCGCCATCACCCTGCTCCCCCTCAACCGAACGATTCTCATCTCCATCGCGGTTTGCAGCAGTCGCCGGACCATCGACTTGTGTTCGTAACTCAGCATATTCTCCTCCTGCTTGAGTGCGCATTTAGATAAAAACGGCAAAGAGTCAAACAGTTGATCAAGTGAGAGAAACTTACCTCGGACCCTGAGCTGAACTCGTTTGAGCCACGTAGCCAGTTGTTCCAAATCAGCCGCAAGAGACGGAGCCGGCTGAGGTTCATCATCACCAGAGCCCTTCCCAGCTTTCGGATCCAACGTGATCTTGAGAGGAAAGCCTGAGAGGGGGCGATCACCTCGATGTTCCGGAACCGTGTGCTGAAAGGAGAGGAGTTGGAAAATGAGATTGGGAAACATCAGCTTGTTGTTCACCATCTCCGGAGTCCGAGCTGCAGCCAGGATTTGATCATACACCATCTGACCAAAGTTGAACTTATGCCCTTGCACAATGTAAGCGAGAAGACGGATGCGTTCCTTGACCATGGTGGTATTGTTTGTTGTCGGAATCCAGTTGCAGCAGCACAGCTTGTAGAGAACACCATTGAGACGAGTAAGGTGTTGAGACCGAAAACCTTCCCACCGATTCTTACGACCTCTAGAAACACACTGGACAGCTTCATCAATGTTGATCCGTTCCCACTCACCATAGGGCAACGAGTCATCGACCAGGAACATCTTGTTAATGATTTCCGGAGTAAACTCAAACATCAAGCCACGAATGTAGATACGATTCGTGCCGTTGTGATATTCCAAATCACCCAGTTTTGCATAAAATTCATGGACAACAATCGGCCGATACGGTTCAACATCAAGGACCGTATAGATCAGTCCAGCATCATCAATGATCTTCCGAGCACCAACTAGCTTTGGATCATCCAGAGGAAGATATTTCTGATTATGAAAAGGCCGGAGGCGAAAGGATACAAATCTGTCCTTGGAAGCCAGAGAGAAAAAGTTGTCGATAGGCCGCAGGCGAGGACGAATAAGTTCAGGATGTATGCGATCTCTCACCACTTCTTCACGGCGATTGGCGGAGTAACGCGCCTCACGGTCAAGGTAAAGCGGGTGATCTGTCTTATGCGGATCCACAAAGTCATCAAGATCCTCTGCAGAATTTTCGTCCATCTCGCATCAGTACGTGGAGCGAAAGGATTGGAGAAATCCTCCGGAGAGGCCTGCGATCCGTCAAAGAGGTGTTTGAACTCCTCAGCAGCAGAGGAACCATCACCGTCATCCTCTTCAGCACTCAGAATCTCAATTGGTGCCTTCCCAGAGCGAGATAGAGCCTTTCGTTTAGCTCGAAGACGCAGAAGAGCCTCGGCAAGAGTTTCCTCGTCAGCAGGGAAACGGCGGCACGAGGCGTCGATTGCGGAAGCGAGAAGCTTGGCGGTGGCTGAGCGAGTATTGCACGGCATTGTGACCCAAGAGAGAGTGAAGAGAAGCGGCACGAGATGGTGGCACACGATTAGGGTTCTGCCACACGAAAAGTCAGCCATCACCTTTTAAAGGATCGCGGGAAATAACCCTAGCCAAACACTCAGCCCACAGTTAGTGCAACAAATGGGCCATAAGCCCAAAACAAGCGCAGAAATTAAAAAGATGCTCACAAATGCCGATAATTGCCGAGAAAACCCAACATAGATGGTTAGACCCACGTATGTACAAGGATAATAGATATGAGGACCCCACGCTAGAGATTGAAACACATCGCATCATGAGTTACATAAGCCAAAGATATCACCAACCTTGAGCCAGGCGTTGTGTGTGAGAGATTTGACACAGAGACTTCATCCAGGGAGGGTGGTGCAACACGCATGGACAGAGATCAACACTTTGAAACAACAATTCACTCTCTGGGTGGGAGTGTGTGGCATGCCCTTAACCAAGGAGCCTTCACACACTCCATCATCTGTCCAGCAGCTTTCCCTTTTCCCATTCACTTCATCTAAAGGAGTTGTGTTTGATCGAAGCATACATGAGAGCATTGCCAGGTGTGCACTTCAGCCATCACAGTCGAATGGTCCTACCTCAGCAGTAAGTCACAGAGAGTTACCCAACCAGACTATGTGCAAGGAACATTGTAGTGCTGCATTCCCCCAGCTGAGGAGCATTCACACTTACTCAATATGAGTGAGACACGAATGTCTGTTCAAACACACCCAGTAAGAGGTGTTAGTTATTATTTTTGTTTGTTTGCAATTGTTGTATTCTTGCACACGCTGATGGTAAGTCTCTGTGATCACTGCTGTCCTATCTTTGTGCAGCTTTCTCAGCCGAGTAGCTTTCACACACACCATAAAAGAACATCAAGAACAGGAAAGTAGTTAAGAACCATCCTCACCTTGACATGTGCTGTCACATTGACTTCTCCGATCATGTCAGTGATCAGTGTCAGACTTAAAGTGTGGTGACACTTTAGTCCAAACTGAGTGACAATCATACCGGGACACATCTCCTCACATGCAGATACTTAGAGACCAGGGGAACTGCTCAACAGATGATTTACCAAGAGAGCCAAAAAACAGTGACATCTGTACAGCACAAATAAACTTGAACCACGCACCACCCCCTGTGTATCACGCAAACTCAGAACTCACACACACCTAAGACCTTTCGCAGTCGAAGAAAACTGTTCAGGTCTAAAGGTTTGGTGAAGATATCAGCTAATTGGTACTGGGATGCAACATGTTCAATAACAGCAAGTTTATCCTCTACTAAACCTCGAACAAAGTGATGCCTAGTATCAATGTGTTTCGTGCGTGAATGTTGAACAGGATTTTTTGTGAGATCAATTGCATTTTTATTGTCACACTTAACAAGGAAAGAGTCAGAAGCTATACCATAGTCAGCAAGCATTTGCTTCATCCAAAGCAGTTGGGTGTAGCAGCTCCCCAAGGCCACATATTCAGCCTCAGCAGTCGATAAGGACACGCAATTCTGCTTCTTACTGTGCCAGGATACCATGTTGTTCTCCAAGAAGAAGCATCCGTCAGAAGTGTTCTTCCTATCATCCAGACACCCAGCTCAATCTGCATCACAAAAACCAGCAAGATTAACATTAGTTTTCTTCGTGTAATGTATGCCATAATCCAGAGTTCTTTTGACATATTTGATCACACGCTTGATTGCATTCAAATGTGACATATGAGGGTATGCCTGATAGCAAGCACATAATCCAACACTCAGACATATGTCAGGTCGACTGGCAGTAAGGTACAACAGGCTCCCTATCATGGCACGGTACAACTTCTCATCTACATGCTGCCCTCCTTCTTCCTTGGACAGTTTGTTTGTAGTGCTCATAGGCGTGCTAGCAATTTTGCTTGTCTGCATCTCGAAACGTCTCACTAGATTCTTTGAGTAAGTGCTTTGAGAAATAAAGATGCCATCTTGAGTTTGTTTTACTTGTAATCCAAGGAAGTAAATCAATTCCCCAACCATGCTCATCTGAAATTTCCTGGTCATTGTTACCACGAACTGATCAACCAGGTTTTGTTGTGTGGCACCAACAATTATGTCATCGACATACACTTGTACTATCAGAATATCTCGACTCATGTTTGGATAAACAGTGTTTTGTCCACACTTCCTCTCTGAAACCCTGCCTTCGTCAAGAACTGAGCCAGTCGTTCATACCAAGCTCTTGGAGATTATTTTAGACCATAGAGTGCCCGCTTCAGCTTGTAGACATGATTTGGGAACTCAGGATCCTCAAAGCCTTTGGGTTGAGCTACATACACTTCTTCCTGAAGCAGACCATTCAAACATGCACTCTTCACATCCATTTGATAGAGAGTGATTTTCAATTTGCAAGCAACCCCAAACAAAAGGCGAATTGATTCCAACCGAGCAATTGGAGCAAATGTCTCATCAAAATCAATCCCCTCAATCTGACAGTAACCTTGTGCAACTAGACGGGCTTTGTTTCTGATAACATTGCCTTCCTCATCAGTCTTATTTTTGAATATCCACTTAGTCCCCACAATGTTGACATCAGGTGGTGGAGGCACTAAGTCTCACACATCGAGTCGCACAAACTGTTCAAGTTCTTCGTGACATGCAGCAACCCAAAAATCATCCTCTAAGGCTTGTTGCACTGTGGTGGGCTCAGAGAATGATATGAAGCAGGCTAGCTTGACCATAGCTTTGAAATCAATCTTTTTGTTTCTAGTTCTTCGCTCACCAAAAGCGTCACCAATGACATCATCAGAAGAGTGATTCTTGTGAACAGCCTCTTGATCTTCAGTATGGTCAGATGTAGCATTCGGTTTGTCACCCTCGATAGGTTCTTCATCATCCTGAGTCTCGGTGTATGACACACTGTTGTCAGAGGTACCATTTTCTTCAGATATGACTTCTTCAAGGATGCAGGTGTTCTGATCATCAAATACAACATTTATGCATTCCCCCACCATCTTAGTTCGATAGTTATACACTCTGAATGCTCTACTGTTTACTGCATACCCCAAGAACATCCCGGTGTCACTTCTCGAATCGAATTTCCCAAGATTGTCCTTATCATTGAGAATATAGCAGACACACCCGAAGATGTGAAAGTAGCTCAGATTTGGCGTTTTGCCATTCCATATTTCATATGGCGTGGACTTGGTTCCAGGCTTCACGTACACACGGTTGATGATGTAACACGCTGTGTTTATGGCTTCGGCCCAAAATCTCGGTGCCACATTATTTCCATGTAGCATCGCTCTGGCCATTTCTTGGAGAGTCCTGTTCTTTCTCTCAACTACGTCGTTCTGTTGAGGAGTCCGGGGTGCAGAATATTGGTGTCTGATCCCTTGGCTTTGACAGAATTTTTCAAAGGCATCATTCTGGAATTCACCACCATGATCACTTCAAATCTGAATGATGCCACCTTTGTCTGTTTTCAGCTGCAGCGCAAGGATCTTGAAGCTTTCAGTGGTATCAGATTTTTCTCTCAAGAACCTGACCCACGTGTATCTTGAGAAATCATCAACAAGAAGATGTATTTCTTGCCATTAATGCTCTCTGTCTGAATTGGTCCCATGAGGTCCATGTAAACTAACTCAAGAATTCGTGACGAACGAATCTCACTCAGGGGTTTGTGTTGAACTTTTATCTGTTTTCCCTTACGCTGCACAGACGGTATCCGTTGAGTTCTCAAGGTTTGGTATTCCCCTTACAACTTCTATCTTCACCAGCTTACTCAATCCCTTGACATTCATGTGTCCTAGCCGTTTATACCACAAATCCAACTGTGATTCACGAGCTGAGAGACACTTATTTGAAGCACTCCACATGTAGCAATTGTTTCCAGACCATATGCCATACATAACTATGTTTCCATTCTCATCCAATGCTTGACACTCTTTAAGTGTAAATATCACCTTTAAACCCTCATCACAAAGCTGACTAACACTGATAAGATTTGCCTTTAAGCCATGAACATAATACACATTGACCAGTTGTGGCTGTTCTTCCCCACATAGACTCCCAACTCCAAGGATTTTTCCTTGTCCTCCATCACCGAAGGTAACCTGGCCTCCTTTGACTCTCTGCAGTTTGTCAAAGCTTTCATAGTCTCCGGTCATGTGTCTCGAACAACCACTGTCAAAATACCATGCACTCTCTATCTCACCATTTGTTGAGAAATAGGCAACATTGCTCACCATTTCTGGAATAGTGGTTGTGGTCCTAGCAAAGTTGCACACGACAGTTTCCTCTGACAAATCCTTTTGCGAACCATTAGCCATCACTTGATCTCCATACAGAATTCGTTTTTCAACCCATACCTTACCAAAATGTCTTGGTTCTGGATAACACTGGTGTTGACTCCAGGCTTTTCTTAGAATTTTCTTGAGTTTGAAGCATCTTCTTTTTATATGGCCGGTTTTGTGACAAAAGAAACATGATCTTTTCTTTCTACCTCCTCTGATAGGCTTGACATTTGTACCTCCTCTCAGGCAGGTGGTCTCTTCTTTTGTGTCTGTAGAAACAGCGTTCTCTTTTGCTTGAGTTTTTCCAACAAACTCCTTTGAAAGTTCACTAACAGATGTCCCTCCGTAAACAAACCCCGGAATCGAACCAGCTTGTGTAGTGGAATGATCCACCAGAACTCCTCCTGAATATCCCAGACCCCAATTCTTCTTCGGAGGTTGTCCTGCAGACAGAATTTTGTCCAAGGACTCAGCGCCTGTGTTGAGCATCCTAATCTTTTTATGATTCTCAACCAGCTGACTTTAAAGATCTCTTGCCTTTTCTTTTTCAAGACTCACAACTTCCCTCAGATTGTCAAGTTTATCTTCAAGAACCTTCCTTCTTTCTTGCTCTTTAGCTAACTCGTCCCTCAAATGCACGTCCACTTCTTTGTTCAGATCAATCGACTTGTCAGATTCTTCAACTGATAGAGTCGTTCGTTCCATCTCAAAGATGTTCA